ATTGTGGAAGTTGACAGCAGGCCCAAAAGAACAGTTGTCAGGCCCATTCGTTACAGGGATTGAAGATTCTCATTCAGAATGAAAATATTGCATTTCTATTAGTTTTTTTTTTGCCACATATGCATTCGGTTATTACATCATTTTGTCATTGTAGCATTTTGTTATTTGCATTCTTGTTTTTTTCTGCTGTATTGCGCCTATATATTCCATCAAATTTTGAGACAAAAATTAGATCTAGGAAATATTCAACTCTCGGTGACAAAAACTTAAAACAAAGATGAACAAAAGACGAACACAAACACAAGATAGCCATGGATCTAAACTTCAAATGACAAGAACAAGGACTTATCTCTTGAAGAACCGGATGCTCTTGATACCACTTGATGAGATTCCACTTGGAAATCTCATGAACACTTCCTTAGCTTCTCGGAATCCTTAGAAGAACTTCAAGGATCAAGACTCCAAAAAAGCTTCAATGTGACCTAGGCTTGCGTCTAGCCAAGTCCGGAGAAGAATAAGAGGTCCTAACTCTACAAGGAGAAGCTCTCAAATAGGGTAGAGTTTAGGAGAATGGTGATTTTAGAGAAGGAGAATTCTAAGAGTGAAAATCTCATTCAATAATCCAAAGTGACAAACACGGATGGGTCATAAGGATTTATAGGAGAAAATTAGGTCAAGGTAACCATGGGTTAGCCTAAGGTTAAGTGGAACCATGGTAGGGTTCACTTAACCTTAGGCACCCAAAATTTGAATTTAAAATTCAAATTTTGGAGCCTAAACCGGATCACCCATGTGCAAGGCATTTGGAATGTCATTAGGCTTCCATTTGGGTTGCATTTCGGATCACACCATGTGCATGTGTTGCACATGGCCGAAATGCACTCCAAATGTGAATCTAATTACATTCTAATGCAACTACACATGTAACCTAAATAACCCTAAATTCAAATGACCTCCAAATGAAATCCTAAGCTAAATGGCCGGAAATACAAGGCCCAAAAGAAATACAAGGCATTAAGGCCCAATCCTACACTAACCCTAATCTACTTGGGCTTGAGTCAAAGCCCAACTAAACAAAGATATGGGCTTTCCTTGGGCTTGGGCCCATTCCTCATGTATCCTCCTTGCCATAGCCCTAGTAGTTGGGCCCTTGGCCCATGGGCTTCCTCCATCACATTGTTAATTGTAATTAAATCCTAAACTCGCTCCCTAGTCAACTAATGTAATATACCTTGCATGGTCTGTGTTATTATATATACAATTACGATATACTCTCTTTATTTTCTAGTATCAGAATTAAGTTAGTAGCATAGTGAATTTCAACCCAACTCTCTTCTTATCCTAATTCCTTTCTTAGAATGTTGTAAGTTTAAATAATACAATTTGGAAAGCTCCTTCAGCCTAGGTAGTGCAGCAAAATTGTTTTCTATTATATCTAGCCTTTCTAACCATCTCATTTTTCTATCAGCATAAATGATTTTTACTAAATGGCAGAAACTTAGATCAAGTCTATAAACACTATATGGTCCATGCATTCAGAAAATGAAAGATATAGACACTATATGGTCCATGCATATTCTGGCTTTTATTAACCATCTCACAATTAATGCTAACAATAACAATAAATTCAACAGTCAGGTGCTACAGCAACACATCCGTGAACAAAAAAAAAGACACTTGAGATTGGGGAGACAAAGATAGGTTTATATCATAGTCTGCAGTTTGGATTCTAGCTGGCCGAAGTTTCAACTAAATATTATTTGAATCCAAATAAACAGACTAAATTCCTTACAAAGTGAAAACATTTTTTTCCTCTCTATTGGTAAGGTATGATGGATAAGTTAGAGAACATCACCTCTCTAAACCTTCTATTTTGATCCTTCTGAATCTGCTCTCAATGTACCATCTATTTGAAAAAGGAAATGAAATAATGCTACTTATTAACCAACCCCCAGAGCAGCTTCAACAATAAGCAGGTTTGTAAAAAAAGTAATATGATAAACAATTATGATATTTGCTACATAATCAGTAATATGATAAACAACAGCCTAACTAACTAACACAAGTTTAACAATTGTAGTATACAATTCCCAAAAATTCATGATAGACCCTACACACTTAAAGTGTGAAACTTTATTGCATATTCAACAACATAGACCCTGCACACTTATATTATGATTTAACTTCATTCTTCATATTTTTCTTTCAATCAACACAACAATATTTTGACCATTAAATATTTCAGTGATCTTTTATAAGTCAGTTAAATTTAAACACTCAATTAAATTTTTAAACACAACAAATAGATTCCAACTTACTATCCCAATGAAAATGGTCAAGAAATATTGATTTGCAAATAACACCACCCTTTCCCTATGTAAATTAACTAAGCCTCTTCATTACAGTCTTTTTAGATGATATATGCTATTTCTAGCTTTCTTCAGCACCCAAAATCATATGGAACAAGTGCTTTTAGCTCGAGACCACTAAACCTGTTGTTTACAAAACTAAAACAAGAGTAGGAGAAATATTTAGTAAATATAACAACATCAACTCATTCAAATCTAAATTAATCCTCCTTTAAATTTAAAATGTCAAGATTTTGTGCCATCACGGATTGGTTTTGAATCAAACTGTTGTAGTTAACAACGACTTGCTTGTTCCTCTTGATGATGTGAACTTGATTAATTTGTACCAGTTATCTTCCAAGGGCATCTTTGATTGGAACCTGGATGGAGGTGGAAAAAATTTGCAAGAAGAAATTAGGGCAAATGTGAGCACCTTGCGGAATTATAAAAAAAATCCCAAAATAGTTTGCAAGTTTACTTACAAATCTTCTACTTTTCCCTTTGGCGAAGAACTTGCGCAAGAGCACCACTCGAGACAGCTCCTCGGAGATCATTTATGGATATGGATCACCACTCGGGAGAGCTCCTCCGAGACCGTTTGTCGATTTGGATCACCAGAAGAGGCCGCGAGAGTAATAGGATACTATTGCGTGTGTGTTGAATCCGCGAGAGACGTTGTGTCGAGAGTGCCCGCGAGGGTTCAATTTTGTGAGTTGAAGAAGCTGCACCAGAGCCCGCGAGAATGCCCCACCAGTGTTGTGTCGAGAGGGTTTAGAGCTCGCGAAAATTTGGCTTCAATTTTACATCGATCAAATGAAATACCCGATGTAGAATACTAATTTTTACATCGGTGAGAAAGAGAACCGATGTAGAATTGTTTACATCTTCATTTTATTTACAAAACTTCCACCACCTTTCTTATTTACATCATTTCTAAAGGAACTGATGTAGATATAATGATGTAAAACAATTCTTTTCTAGTAGTGCTTGTATCTTTATCTTTGGGTGTAGTTAGTATATTAGAGGGTGTTACTAGTATGTAGCACTTGTAACTAATTAGTCTTGTGATTGGGCCTAGTGGGTGGTGCATATTCTCATGAGTAGGGCATCCACATAGGTATGCCCTACACCTTACTATAGTCTACACAATTCCATTTAGTAATATACATCACACACTAATCACTCCATTCACACTTGCCACATAGTAAGCTCATATAGTCTAGTTTAGATCTAGAGCATGGGCACGTGGCCTTTGGGGGAGTTAGGCACCAATTTGAATTCAAATTCAAACTAAGTGGTGTGCCACTTCACCATAGTTAGCCAACCTTGGTTTCTAAGCTAGCTTAGTTTATATATAGTTTAGCCTTGTACTTGAACAAACACTTTGAGTATTTTGAGTAAAATCATTTGTTGATTCCCTTCTTAAATTCTTGAAGGTGGCACCACTCTCCACCCTCTCTTATATCATTTAAAGTCTTTCTTTGCAACTTTGGAGCTATAGATAAAGATTGGAGAAAGTAAGAAGCAAGATATATAAGTGAATTGGTAATCATTACTCCATCTAGTTTCCATCACTGAGTATATGAAATTGAGCAGGAGACAAAGCTTAAGGCTTTGATTTTATGTCATGGGTGTTGTTTTGACAATGTGATGTCGAAGCTAGGGGATATTGTGCTTATTTTATGCTTGGAAATTAGAATTTTTTTTATCATGTTTTATTTTCTTAAGGTTTTATAAAGGTCAATTTTTGTTTGCCTATGTTATGAATTTATATATATTTTTATTCGTTTTGTTTAATAATGGAATTTTTACTCAATAAAATTAAGACTTAGGAACCCCTTTTTACACAGTTTTAGTAAAGAAATTTGTTCTATTCAATTTTTTTCTAAAATAATGCATTTTCATAATAAACGTTTGAGAGTAGAAAGATATCACATTATTCACATATTCGAATTATCAATGTGTTACAACATCTTTACATTTATATTATTCTCTCTTTTAAATAGTTCTTAAAATAAACAAATTATTTAAGTAATAATTCAAGTATTACAAATCATACTAAATAATCATCAATTATCGAAAACTATTTTAAATTAGACTTTAGATGTTAGTAAAATATATCAATAAAAAAGATTAAATTGATGATATTCAATATTTTAAGAACTACTTATATAATTTTATTACTGTAAGAAATATTTAAGAGAATGATTAATCGTTCAGGGATCAAATTGTGGTTTACTCATTAATCTTGTGTTTAACTTGATAACTAGAAAAGTAACCATTTGATGCATACAAGAATGTAAAGATTGTTTTCGAGAGACAAAAATAAATTGTCCGCTAGGATGTTTTCATAGACTTAAAAAAACTAACCTACTCATGTGGTTGATTTTGGTTCAAATAACAAGAAAGATAGTTTTTTTTTTTTTTTAATAATGGAGAAAGATACATCTAACTATACTCATCTAATTAACTATGTTTAGACACCATCCCTGAGGTAACGCGCAAATAACGATACATCTAACTACACTTATGTTAACAACTCAACACTAATTGTTCAACGAATCATAGGAAACCCTTCTCCTTTTTCCTCTCCTTTTAAACTTACTGGCTTTCACTTATTTTCACACAAGTTTATAGTCTTCAAGGTTTATTAATACAATCACTTTGATATGCCTGCATTATATATATAACTTCTCTCAAATTATATCTTCTCTAATCCCCTACCCTCCTCGATCCCTTTGACAGTGGGTTATAATCCTATTGAATATATATAAATAGATATATGAGAGTCTTATGAATATCTCAAATTCTTATTGGATTAAAAATATCCTATGAACAAGTTTGAAAAGTGTTACACATTGCAGCCACTACTCGTCAACACATTGGATTTGTCTTCGATAGTAGAGATGAAAGCACTTGCTTCAAAGACCTTCATTTGATTTCCATGGTTAGTAATTCGTTTTGGTAGATTATGTATATATTATCTTTTGAACCTTTGCATGTCCTCAAGTTGTAACCAAAATGTGAATTATCATCCCTTTTCTTCTAAACATTTTTTTAAATAAAGAGAAAATTACTTTCATCAAATTCTCACCAAAGAATCGAGAAAAACAAATGAATCAAAAAGATTCTCACCAATGCCCTCCCTTTTTTATTACGTAACCCTTATTAATTGTTTGAAAAAACAATACACTAATATCTCTTGTACAATATATTAACTTTCTTAATCATTTAAAAACATATATTACACTGTGTACACTTATAAGAGGAATTGTATTTAATGGTAAAAAAACTAAAGACTAATGTGCAATTTTAAGAAACCCATAAAGAATTGGGAAAATTTGGTCTTTTAAAAAAGAGATTTTTTTTTACCTTTTTTAATATTCAGTAAAAACTGTCATTTTCAATCATTTTTCGATAAACAAAAAATAAAATAAAAGGGTCAAATAAATTAAAATTTGATCATAAATTAAAATTAACTAATACACCTCAATTTTTTTTTTAAAAAAAAATCTTTTATTTAATCTATTTATAAGTGGAGGTAAATTAGTTTATTTTAAACTATGAAAAAGTTTATTTCATTTCATTTAGCTCAAATAGTGCATTGCTTCATCAAGAGGACTACAATCTTAGGAATGAAATTTTATTGAAACACCACTTCTCTGCTACCTAAACATTGGGAGCCATGCAAGATGAATCAAAATATTAACATTGTATACTCTTTAAGATGCGCAAGAGATAAAAGTTCAAAGTCATATCATTCATAAACAAAGACAAATGATGTGTGTCATTAAGTCTATACTACGTTTTCCATTAAGTTACCAAAATTGCCAAAAGCCTTTAATTCCATAGTACCTTCCTTCATGGTTGGTCATTGTTGTTGACCCTCGTCTTCATTTGGGCTTAGCCTCTTCGTATAGTGTATTTTTTATCTCCATTGTTTCTTGCTTAAATTGAACTTTTATGACGTATGAAGTAAGATATTGATTACCACTAACCCACCCTAGCCAATTGTTGGTTGTTGTCCCTCATTATAACTTTTTCTTCTTTTTCTTCTTTTCTTTTTCTAAGATTTATCTTCTTTCCTTCGTAGAGAATAGAATTGAACATAAGAAGAAAATAGTAATATTGAGCAACAAGAGAAGGAGATCAACATAATAGAAGCAATGGGATTTTGGGAACTATTAGAGGTGGCTTCTGCACCAGTTATTCAAGTCTTACTTATCAGTTTAGTTGGAGTTTATATGGCAAGTGATTATTGTAATAATCTTCTTTCATCAAACTTTCGAAAATCCTTGAACAAGGTAAGAGATAAGCTGAATTAATATCAGTTTTTTTAAAAATATGATGAATACTAATACTAATTTCTTCAATTCTCTTGCATTTTATTTTTCCTTAGAGGATAAATTAAGGACAAAATCTGCTTTATTCTTATCCAATCATTTTTTTTCTTTTCTTTTGTGTACCCCTTGTGCAGATTGTCTTCATTGCGTTCACTCCTTCACTTATATTTGTCAGTTTTGCCAAGAATGTTTCTCTTGACGAAATGATATCATGGTACACATTGATTAATCTTAAATTTTGGTTTTGTCTATATTTTAATAGAATGATTTTGAAGTGCGATAGTTTTAACTTTTAATAGGTATATTGATTTATTGCCACAATGTTACATATGTATATGATGTGATGAACTGATATGTGTTACTAGGAGGGAAAATAAGAAAACAAATAATAAACCTCAAAGGCGAAATAAGATAACCATATATCTATTTTGGTACATAAGGAATAAGTCGTGCCTAGTTCTAATTTTCAGGAAAACATTAATGTTTTGATAGAATAGGATAATGCTATATAATATATATCATACATCAACATATCTTTGCTGAGACAAAATTAGGAATAAACTTTCTGAAGAGCTTCATATTTGGTGATATTACTTTGAATCATTTGTCTTACCCTAAACCCTAAACCTTAAATCCTAAAATTACATTTAACCAAGGCAGTTTGAGGCTAAACCTATCGTAGTTTGTTTAATCATTAGTCGGATACTTCGTGTAAAACATTGCCTACTAAAAATTAAAAAGGGGTTTATCCTAATTGACCCTACAAACTTAAACGTAAGTCACATTAGTTACAAAGTGTAGCAAAAACTAAATTTGATTTTGTTATCTTTGCCACTAAAAGTAGCAATTAGATCATTTATGTATACCTTTGAATATATATATATATATATATATATATATATATATATGGAAG